AATACTACAAAATTAAGCAAATACTGCGACTCTAAATAAAACAATTCTAGTTAACTAGAACTAGACAGTAAAACAATTTATTTCGTAGAATTCCAATTAATAGGAATAAGCACAGAATTAAATGAACCTAAAAGGGATCGACATAACAGCAGTGCTTCAAGTCCAAAAAAATTAAATAGTGGTAAAAGACAACTTAATCATACTTTTTTTCGAGTTTAACATATTCTTGACTAACAGAATGCACTGTTAGAATTTTCATTCTAAAATTATGGTAAAATAAACGACGATAGTCTGTCCATCCAATTAACCGGAAAGTGTGCGATAAAGAACATATTTTACTTTTATTGTTAAGAAACCGTTTACTCCTAAAATGCTTATGAAACCATAAATACAAAACTATTCAGTTTTCGAACCATTTACAACTATGATGGTTTCAAAACCGTAACGAAGAAATTTAACTGGATGTAGGAGTCAGGGTTTTCGTTAGTTAATAGGCATTGGAGAGTGCAGGAAACTTGAAACTCTTAATTAGTAGAAGCGAATGGTGGAAATGCTGTGGTGTTAACCCTGGGACTCCAACCCAAGTTCTTCCAGATTAGTTCTCTCGGCTATAATATGTACCCAGTTGCAAGCATATATGGCAACGTTACTTTTAAAAAGTAACGAGTAAAAGTACAAGTATTTTTTAAAAAAATAACGAGTAAAAAGTAAAAAGTTCTTATTTTAAAAAGTAACGAGTAAAAAGTACAAGTAAAAGTACAAGTACTAAACAAAAAAAGTAACGATTTAAAAGTACATTTCTAGGAAATCGAAAATTCAAAGTAACCTAAAATTTTATTGAATAATATTCTTATGTTCTTTAATGTTTTTGCAAAATTGTTGTTATTTATTTAATTATTTTTAATTTTGAAAGTTATGGACATTAATTTATTTTTAAATTCGGAAGAATATTATAATATAATTTTATAATATAATCGTATAATATAATTTTAAAATCAAATATAATTTTAATATCAAACTTTTTATGGATTTGCACGAAAAAGAAATTTTATCTATTGATTTTAATTTTTAGTTTATTATTTTTATTTATTTAAATTACCATTGATTTAAAATTGTTTTACTCTTTAGAAACGCGTTTTAAAAGCACAAACATAAACAAAGCAAACACGGGGTTTCAGATAGCTTTGTGATCTTTGAGCTAGTAAAAAATAATTGAATGTGCAGTATAAGTTGAAACAGAAGGTATTTAAACACGAAGTTAGCTGTGAATGCATATATATTGCACATTAATTTTATAAATTAAAAAAACATAAGCATTTTTTTTAAATTTAATTTTTTGTTTTTTTAGAAAGCTTACCGAGTTTTAGAAAAAAGTAACGATTTCATTCGATATTTCCGTTACAAATACTTGTACTTTTTCCCTAAAAAAGTAACGAAAGTACAAGTAAAAGTACTAAATTTAAAAAGTAACGAAGTACAAGTAAAAGTACGTACTTTTTACTTGTACCGGCGGTACAAGTAACGAAAGTAAAAGTACTGCCATGTATGGTTGCAAGACAGTGGCTTCTTTTAATGGGCTTAGTTGGAGCTATAAGTTTCTGGTTATTTACATTATTGGGTGAAATCATATAATAAACGGTTTTTCTCACGGTTAACAATTTGATTACCATCTTATTTATGCTTATTCAACTGTTTTTGTCTAAATATGGTAAAATGACAATGAAATTAAATGTTATTGATCCAAACATTTTTTCCGAGAAATTTTTAACAGTGTATAAAATGATTCAGCATATTTATCTAGCTGGAAATCCTACCTATGTGTGATTTATAAAAATAATCTGTTTAATTAAATAATTGTTTTCTAACCAACCAGTTTTTCCGAGAAATTTCTATCAGCGTATAAAATGATTCAGCATATATATATTCAGCTGTGAGTCCTACCTAAGAGTGATTTATAAAAATAAACTGTTTAATTAAATAATTGTTTTCTAACCAACCATTTTTTCCGAGAAATTTCTATCAGTGTATAAAATGATTCAGCACATATATATCCAGCTGTGAGTCCTACCTAAGAGTGATTTATAAAAATAAACTGTTTAATTAAATAATTGTTTTCTAACCAACCATTTTTTCCGAGAAATTTCTGTCAGTGTATAAAATGATTCAGCATATATATATCCAGCTGTGAGTCCTGCCTAAGAGTGATTTATAAAAATAATCTGCTTAATTAAATAATTGTTTTCTAACCAACCATTTTTTCCGAGAAATTTCTGTCAGTGCATAAAATGATTCATCATATTTATCTAGCTGGAAGTCCTACCTATGTGTGATTTATGAAAATAAACTGTTAAATTAAATAATTGTTTTTTGTTCATAAAATATTCATATCGCTTTATATTTTTTAGCTTAAGTTGTATCCGTGCAATAGTTACATAATAATAACACTGGTTAGTTTTTATTACATTGGATTTTTTAACGGAATATATTAAGACATTTTCGCTGATATTTCAGATATTTAGGCAGGATAGATATCAGGAAAGATATTTAGATATATTTTTAAATACTTTCGGAAATGCTTAAATGCTTAAACATTGCTAATTTCAAACCTGCAATCGTTTTCCTTTAACAAGCTACAGTTTTTATGCAAGTTACTAACCATACCCCTAGCCATGATATCTTAAAATTCGAATAAATATAGAGTAAAAGAGAGCAATGAGAAAATCAGCTAAGATTTTAAATACGTTATTCTTTCGTTAATGTCATTATTTTGAAAATAATTTTTGTTATTAATATTTTCGGATGCATAAAAATTGACTGTTATTAAAAACAGTTTCTTTAAAACATGGTTTTTCGTAGCTACCTCACCAAGAACAATAAAAAAGCTAGAATTTAAGTGGCTGACACTTGAAAGAAAACAATCATTTTAAACTATTAATGTCTTGCAGTAAAGAATTATCTGAGCTTTATAACAGACAAATAACTTAAATTATTTAAAAGTAACTAAACCTTTTTAAAATCGCCAACTTGGCGACATTTTTCCACCTAGATGAAAATTATAAAAGTTGCTGCCTTATTCTCAGTTCTTGCAAACTTTTATAGAAGCATTAAAGCTTTTAAATTAAACCAAGTTTTTAAATTATAAAAAATTAAACTACAAATGCTTTTCACTTTCATAAAATGAAGCTTTTCTCCCAGACATTCTTATACAAAGTTCATTATGTCCCGCAGTGGACTGATCGTTAAGACATGATTGCCAGTAGAACACCGAAAACAGGCATCACTAATTGTGGTTAGCGGATAGGTGATCATTTTGATCAGCCTTCGTAGGGGTCGAGGGAGCGTGGTATCAGTCCTCGTTAAACTGTTCTACCGTAAAGTACTCGACTTCGCGCGCAGGTTGTCAGGCTACCAAAGCAGGGATGCCATCCCCTCTACGGAGGATCAAATTTGCGATGGCATGTTTTCGGATCATTCTGAGGGATGTCAGACCCTCTCAAATAGCCCATTTTGCAACTCTAGTGCGACGTAAATAAAGTACCTACCTACCAAAGTCCTTTATGGCCTTTTAGAATTTTTTCCAGTTTGAAAATTGAATTCTTTTTGTAAAATGCCTGTCTGCTAGAGTGGTTTATTAAAACATATGATGGAATTCAAAATTTTCTTTGATGCATGCAATTTATCGAAAATGACAGTCCCATTCAAGCATATAACTATTAAGGCATTTTTCATTTGTTGGCATTTCTTTTAGCATTCATGAAGAAATATTTTAAAAATTACTTTTATGTATATTTTAATACATAAAAAAGTATATGGCGTTAAAATGATATCTAGGATTAGCTGACCAGCGTCCTCGGAAGATTGAAAAACTGGTAGCAAAATTTCAAAACACACATTTGAAAACTTACTGCTTTATCTCTCCAATTTAATTTTCTGCGTTTAGAAGTCTCTTTGAAAGATTATCTAACAGAATTACTTCTTTAAAAAATATTTTGATTTTTCCGACAGTTTTTTGGTTTCTAGAGGACGCTGGTCAGCTTAACTTAAAATATTAAGAATTTTCGTAAAAGTAAGTTACATCGCCAACACTTAGAGTCGTAATTGCCAAAATAATGACTCTTATACACACTTGTTCAAATTATTGATTTTTCACTGTAGGTAAACTGATTTAAGAATTGCATTAAAGTTAAGATTCATATGTTCAAATATAAATGATTCTAACACTAGGAAAATTTCTCAATGATTGTGCAAATAGACACCAATTGGCAAAATTCTAACATTTGTCTCCAGTAGATGGCAGCACAAAATATTTTGCATAAAATGAATGAGACAGAATAGCGATCAGGAGTGAAAGAATTAGTACTTGAGTAGGAATCTGTGAAATATCGAAGTCAAGGAGAATACCGATAAGAAAGTCAAGAAAACTCGAGCTATGACTGTGAAATGATCGCACGTCGAATAAGAAACAAAGAAAACTATGACAAGAGAATGAATGAGGCTGAAAATTGTGATAGAATAAAGGATAGAATAAAAGAATAAAAGGTTTAGAATAAAAGGATATTTGATAATGTGCACTGATTTCTCCGAGTTTAAGCTTTTCATCTGATAAAAATTTGCTTTCAATTCGAAGAGAAAGTTTTATTTTCTGACTACATGAATCTTAATTCTGAAATAAAAATATCCGAAATTTGAACGAAATTGGTCGAAAGCTTTATGAGAAATGAACTTTAAAATACAGTGTTGTTGAAAATTTTTAACTCTGAAACTATTCCATGAATTTTGATTAAATGTGGTATTTTATGATTAAAAATAGTTCAAAGTAATGTAAAAATTTATATGTATTACAATTTAAACATTTTTCAGTAAATATAAGAATTAGGATAAACATAATAATTTTAGAATAAAATAATTTATTAATATTTATTTAAGTGATCAAGTTACGCTAAACTAATTTTATCCTCAATTTTATTTTATTTTTAAAACTAAAATAAGTATATTTTCAGAAATGCATCAAATCCCTTTCAAGAAAACACACCTGTCTGGCAGACCAAGTTCTTACTAATTTCTGAGGTAAATTTCTTTACAACTATCGTATTTTTTAAAAACGTTACCTTACCTTTTATTTAAACTTTCATTCCAGTTATGACTTATAATGTAAACTTCAGGTTTGTCTTTAAAATACTTTTCTTTTCCAACAGTTTAACCATCTATGATGAATAAAACAAATATGAAATTCGATAGTCAAATACAGAAGTTATTCAAGTTGCTAACGGAAACAGAAATTACAACAATTGAAGAGCTTCAGCAATACAATGATGGAAATCAGAGTCGTATTTGCATAACTACTTTACTAGCGATAAAAAATTCTATTAAAACCAATGATGAAGCAATATTTCGAGGATTATGTCGAATCTTGGCATTGCTGAGTGATTTGAACATTTTTCCAGACTTAATGTCTCGCTTTGATAGCGACGACAATCCTTTTATAAAGTCGAATGTGATAATAATGGCTTGCAAATACAACCGAATGGAAATCCTGAATCACGTGCTGAGTGAAAATCCTTCTATTCTGATAGGTCTCTCCAGTAAAGACGGTAGAACTTTTCCTTCGCCTGCCGATAATGATGATGAAGGTCACAATGCCTTTTATTACGCAGTACGAACAGGAAATACGCAGCTTTTAGAGGTTTTGATGAAGAAGTGGTCATTGGATTATTTTTCGACACACATCCAGGAGCTGTGTTTTCACCTGTCAAAAAGCTTGAATGAGTTAATGCTAAAAAATGTTGATGTATCAACCAAAATGAAAATGTATATACACAGCTTTTTGCTAGACAGTTACTTTGAGCAAGTCATTCCATCAGACTCAACTGATTATTCTCACGATGATATCCAAGAAAGTTTGTCACTTATTTTGGAGTATAGTGGTTTAGTTCAAGCGATGTACAGAAACAGCGAATCGAAGTATCAAATGGTTTTCTTAGCGAAACAAATAGCACAGAATATAATGTTATCCAAAAGAAGACTGAAATCTACATATGATAGAATTCCTTGGGAAGAGATGGAATTTCACTTAATCTCCTTCATCCGTTATCTGAGTAATCAAGGAAGTTACATCAACTGCTTTGTAACAGAAAAAGACTTTGTAAAATACCTTAAAAATTTCTGTGAGTGCCTGGCCAATGAAACAAAAGAAATTAATCTTATAAACAAAGAAGTGTTGAGAGAGCTTCCTGAAAAAATAAAACGTGATGATGTGGTAAGCTGCATAATTTCCAAATATCCACATTTTGAAGAATTTTACCAAAATTATCAGACAATTCGTGATCATGAATCTCTCAATATTATTAAGAAATATGTCGACATAGTGATAGAAGTAGACAGTCTTGAAAACAGCGGGAAAACTGTTATTGTTAGAGCTCTGCAAGTTTTGGGAGAGAATTTAAAAAATACACTAGAATCGCCCAAATTGTCTTCTGCAACAAATGAGAAAGTGATGCTGTTTATACCTGACAAAACTAATGCTATTTTAAAATTCTTACGAGATTCCTTTTCGCATGGTTTTCCTTTAAGAACCTGTAAAGACGTTGAAGAAATGTATGGCTCTGAATTTTACTCATTTGTTCAGAATGACGTGAAAAAATTAGAACACGGAATCACATTGGCACTTCAGAAAATAAATATTATAACTGTCAGAACTTTGTTGGAGAGAGTTTGTGAATGTGAAGACATGAATGAATTCAATGAGATGTTTCGTATGATTCGACTGTTAACTATTAAGCCTGATTTAACAAACATTTTACCAAGTAACGCTATTATGAATACATTGGAAAAGCTTATATCTGATTTAAGCGAAATTATAAAGGAAAAATCACATTTTGAAGAAAGTATCTTCTCAAGAATAGAAGATATCATTAAATTTGAAAAGAGTCATTTGAAAAATTCTAGGAATGAATGTGAATTAACCATGGCATTGTTAAAGAGTGCACACATTGTTGAAAGTCAAATGGGAAACTGTTTTATTTCTGGAGTAAAGAAATTTATCAAACAACAAATAAAATATGTCAAACCTCAAATCATGCAGCAAGGTATGACTAGATTGGGATTATTACTTAATAAGTTAACTAAGTACGTAAAAGATCAAGTAGATGAACAGGATTTATTAAAATTCTATTCTATAATTTTCGAAATTTGTAACATATTTAATAGTGAAGGACAAGAAATTAAAAACCTGCAGGAACTTAAAAAGAACTTTACCAAAACTAAAAAAATAACTGCTGATAATATTAGAAAAATAAAAAAGTCATCAACCACTTGTTATCAGGATATCCTGTCAAACGATATAGCAGCTTTAAAGAAAATTATACACGAGCATAATCTATCTGAAAATGACATGGAATCATTTTTTAGGTATAAATATAATTTTAAATTACAAGTAGAAATCGAAATGCTTATATTATCACTTTTGTCTAGCTTAGAGCGTTCTGAGCATTATTTAATAACTAGTCAGCTATCTAACGAAGATGACTCTCTACTAGTAGGCAGATATCTAAGGAATTACTTAGCACATGGAAATCCTGTTGTGGATATTTTAATGGATTCAACTCAGTCAATATTTTTATTTGCAGTGAATATTATCAAGCATGATATCTATCGAAAAGCAAATTTTACCATCAAACACAAAACGAATCGATTGAATGCAAAATCTATTGTTGAAAATCAAAAAAGGCTATTTAGTGCTTTTTCTAAGGGCTCCTTCAATGATGTGATACACTGGATAAAAAAAGGAGCTGATATCTTAGGAAGAGACAGCGACTTGATGACAGCTTTACATTTTGCTTCAAAATCGTCCAACATTGATAATATAAAATTCTTAATTAACCGTGGATTAAATCCAAATGTTAAAGATTTCTGTGATAGAAATATTCTCCACGTCGCTGCAGCTTTGGATCGTGTAGACATAGTAAATTATATAATTAAGGAGCTAAAAATATCAGTTCATGAAAAGTGCAAACGAAATCAAACAGCCCTCCATATTGCGACAGAAAATGGTTGTTTTGACGTTGTGAAAACTTTACTTCAACACATGGGTACAATTGATGTGGAGCCACTATTTCAAACGCCAGTATTTAGAGCTGTGATTAATGATCATGTGGAAATTGTAGATTTATTTCTTCCTCATATAGAAGATATAAATTCGATCCGAAATGCAGACAATTTAACTTTCTTACATGTTGCAGCAGATATGGGTCTTCCAAACATGGTAATTTATTTTCTAAATATAGGAGCAGATGTTAACTCTACAGCAAACAAATTGGTCACGCCTTTGCATCTAGCTTCTTATGCTGGTCATACGGAAATTGTTGAAACATTGATTTTAAAAGGAGCAAACAGAGATGCTAAAGATTTCTTTGATTACCGCCCACTTCATTACGCTGCTTGCAATGGACACTCATGTACTGTCGAAGTTTTATTGATACATGGCGCCGATATAAACGCTTTAGGAGGTCAACAACATTTACCTTTGCATATAGCCATTAAGGAAGGGCATATCAATGTTTTGAAAACGCTACTAAAATATGGTTTAAGCATTAAAGATGTTGGAAAGAATGACGCTTCTTTATTTGATTTTGCCATACCACATAGGAATTTAGAACTGATTAATATTTTAATTGATAACAAAGCGCCCATTAATGCAAAGAATGATAATGGTAACACTTCCCTTCATCTAAGCGTACGAAATGGTTCTACAGATATCGTATGCCGGCTAATCGAATGTGGAGCTGAAATTAATACTTCAAACGAAAAAGGTTTAACACCTTTGAGTCTTGCCATAGAACTAGGTTATTTTGAAATAGCTGATAAACTATTATCGGAATTGGCTGATATTTGTCCCCTTAATAATCGTGGCCAAACTTTATTGCATTTATGTGCGTCAAATTCTGCATATCTGGACTTACTGAACGATGATTGCGAATTAAATACTGTAAAATGCAATTATAATTTATTTAAATCATGCAGGTTTAGCGTTTTTAAAAAACTTTTAGAAAAAGGATCTGATTTTGAAGTTAGAGATATTTTTGGCAGAACACCGTTGCACTTAGCTTGCAGCTTCGGTTTTATTGAAATCGTGCTGCATTTAATCGATTTAATGACCTGCATTGATATCCAGGACCAAAGAGGATTTACTCCTTTACATTACGCTGTTAATTATAATCATCTTGAAATTGTAAATATACTGATAGCGAGTGGGAGATGTTCCTTAAAATCTAAAACATTAAAAAACGACACTGTGTTATGCTTGTCTTCAAAAAACAATTACGCTGAATTAACGCGATTTTTAATTAGTAAAGGAGCAGACGTAAATGATGGTGACCCACTTTATAAAGCTCTGGTGCGATGTAACCAGGAAATATGCATAATTCTTCTCCAAAAAAAGTCAATTAATATTGAAAAACAGTTTCAAGGTAAAAGTGAAACTTTACTTCATCTCGCTACCCTCAATGGCATGGAACGATTGGTGTCTTGCTTCTTAAACAAAAAGAAATTTTCTAAATTAGCTGACATTAACAATTCTTTACCTTTGGCAATTCAGAGGGGTTTTGATGATATCGTATCTCTCTTATTAAAGCATGGAGCTGATGTGAACATAGTCTTTGAAGATAATATTACACCTTTGCACATAGCAACTGCGCGAGGTCATTCTAATATCATAAAAATATTGTTAGATAGGGGAGCAGATTTTAATAAAGTGACTACAAAATATCCAAGACCAATTGAGCTGGCTGTATGTCAAGGTCATTTGGACTCAGTAAAAATATTTTTCGAGAATACAAATGTAAACGTAAATAAAAAATTAGACAACAAATACACTTTTTTACATATAGCTGCTAAATGTGGTCACCTAGACATCATAAAATTTCTTATAAGCAAAAATGCCAATATGAATATAGCCGATTGTGAAGGCTCGAAACCCATACACTTCGCAGTTCAAAGCGGCAATTTGAATATTGTTAAATACTTTATTCAAATAAGTGAAAAATTGTTAACAGAACGTGGCTATCAAAATAGGACGCCACTTCACTATGCAGCTGAAACAGGCCAAACTGAAATTGTTAAATATTTAATAGAAAACGGAATAAATGTGAATGAATCTAGAGATAATGGAATAAGACCAATTCATTTAGCCGCAAAATTTGGTTTTGATGAAGTAATCAAAGTACTTCTTGACAACGGTGCGCAATACGACTGCGTTGATGACATTTTTTATAATACACCATTGCTTCTAACTGTTAATGAAGGTATTAAGAAAATGTTACAAATGATTAAGGAGCTCTTTCTCACCGTAAAATGCAACAATATTTCAAATTTAAAATCACTTATTGAAAAGGGAGCTTGCATCAATGCAAAGGATTTAAAAGATGCGACACTTTTACACTACGCGGCCTGGAAAGGGTATGCTAACATTATTCAAATTTTATTAGAAAATGGTGGAAAACCAAATGCTGGAGGAAAAAAGGAGGCCACACCTCTTCATTATGCATCAAAGTATTGCAAGTTTGGAGCAGCTAAAACCCTACTAGAAAACGGTGCTATATATAATGCAATGACAGCAGCCAGGAAAACTCCTCTTGATCTAGCTTCAAGCAATGACGTTATTGATCTATTACAGTTAATAGATCAAGCTTTCACATGTGTGCTGAATTGCAATGTTCAGATTTTAAGTATTTTAGAAAATTTGGAAAACTCTTACTCATTAAAATCCGTAGCGTGTGCAAAAAACAAGGAAGGGAAAACTCTAATAACTTGTGCTATTCTCAATGATTTTCCCAAATTAAGCCATCTAAACAATATATTCTTCAGAAACTGTCCAACATCAAGAGATGAATGCATTAAGTTAACAAGTAAAGAACAATTCGATGACGCTTTAAGCAATTTAAGCGATTTTCAGAAGAAAACAGCTCAAAATATTGGTTTAGATAATCCAATTTCATGGGAATCAGACGAAATGTCAGCATTTATAATGTATAAGCAACAAAAATATAAACAAGCACTTGATATTTTTGAGAAAATATTCCAAAAAAAGAAGGAGCTTTTTGGCCTCAGTGACGGTCGTACTTTGGAAACGCAATTTTTTATTGCAACTATCTACCGAAGCTTAGGTAGAGTTTCAGAATCTTTAAAGATTTTTGAAGATGTTTACTCGCAACAACGTAAACTTTTTGGGCTAGATCACGTTCAGACTTTGACTACATTATGCTTTATGACAAAAGTATTGTGTGACCTAGGGCGACCTGACAGTGCTCTGGAGAAAAATAAAACTGTATTTAAAAAGTTTCTTCAAATGTTTGGGCCAAACTATCCTCTGACAGTTGTATCTCAAGATTGTCTTGGCAATACTTTAGCCCACCTGGGTAAATACGACGAAGCTCTGACATGCTATAAATGTGTTTATGAGTACAGTAACAGAGTATTAACTTCTTCTCATTCGGAAACACTATTGGCACTTTTTAACGTGAAGCGTGTATTATGCTATCAAAATTTAACTGATAAATCTCTTACAGAGTTAAGAGAAGTTTTAGACATTCAGAAAAGTGTTTTGGGTTCGGAAAGCATAGATACTTTACACACAGAAATGACAATTGGAGGATTCTTATTCAAGAGCGGTAAATGCAGAGAGGGTTTCAAAATTTGTAAAGACAGTGTTGAGAAACAAAAAGCTATTTTGGGAGAAAATCATTCAGCAGTTTTAAAATTTGAACAGCAAGTAGAAAAAATGAAAAATCATATAGATATGTTAAATATTCAAAGTCTGTCGGATTTAGAAGATTTGGAGAAAACTAAACAAAATCCAGCATCAAACGAATCGCTTATTAAAGAAATGATGAACTTGGCAACTATTGATTCCGAAGGGAGGACCTTTCTTCATTTTGCTGCTAGTGAAGGTCATTTATTTTTAGTGAACGATGCATTGCAGAATGGATGCAATGTTATGCATCCAACCCAAAAGGGAAATACGGCTTTGCACATTGCTTCCTCCAAAGGTCATGCTGAAATTGTCGAAAAACTTCTAATGCATACAAAAGAAAATAGCTCCGATGAATTGACTGCATTTGTTAATGCAAGAACAAGGAATGGTGGTAATTCTGCATTGCACGTAGCTGCAAGCATTGAAATTGCCAAGATCTGTCTAAAGTACGGTGCCATCTATAACATACGAAATAAGGATGGTAAAACGCCGAAAGATTACACTACAGTAAAAGAAATTTCTGATTTTCTACAACTTATGGAGGATCTTTTTGTTGGTGCTTCGATTGGAGACGTCAAGTTAATATCCAAATTACAGAATTTTCAATCTGAAGAAAAATTAGCAGTTTCAGGTGCAATTAATGAAGAGAACTACACATTATTCCAAGTAGCTGTGAATAACGGACACAAAAATATTGTTGCTTCATCTTAAAGTCTGAGATAATGAAAACACGAATTTATTTTCTAAATCACTAAGAGAATTGAGTAATTTAAAATTTCGAAAATAATCTTGGTTGTTTTTCTTGGTTTAGTCCCTATGTATTGAGAGAAAAAATGAATCAATTTTTGAACTATTGAAACGATTTTCAGTGACATGGCTTAAATTATGTATTACACGAAATTGAGTATTTTGACTCAAAAACACGTTTTAAGCATTGTATCTTTTTTCAATTAAGTCAGATTGATATAGAAACTTCAATTGTTATTCCCCTGCTGCTACAAACATGTATGTTTTGTGGGAAGTTAAAACATCAGTCGAGACAACTATGTGGAGAAAAATACTTGAATAAAATACTGTTTATTTTTATTTTTACTGTAAATTTTGTTAAAATTATATAAGCACAAAATTGTAAATGCATGGTATGATTATAACACAGGGGAACAAGTTTTTTGTAGCATTATAGAAAATAGTGGGCTGCGCCTCCTGATCACTAACGCTTGCCAACCTTCGGAAATTGCTACGCAATCTTATATGGTTTGCTTCGCAAACCAAGCTCGATTTGCTCCTTAATAACTTAGGTACATTGCAAATGCGCAAAATTCTAAGAATTCAAAGCAATCATTCAAATCCATATAACAATTTTTCTTTTAAATCTTTTCTTTTTCTTTTAAATCTTTTAAATCTATCTTTTTAGTAAATACTAAGTCAGTAAAATAAATTTGAACTCAAATAAATGACATGTAATTCGTTAAACCTATTAGAAATGTGCTATAGTATAAAATCTTAAAGCGTAACAGCACGACTGAGACTAATTTTTCAATGAATAACTAATAGCGATAATAAAACAAATAAATTCGTGATATAAATCAAAAATTGTCAAATAAATTCGTAATATATAAATTCGTAAAAAAAAGCGCTTTCGACAAAATACTAAAATAGAGATCTATCGACAAAGACTACTCACTTCTGCCTAGCTTAATAGTATGAGATTGCCGCAGCTGATGCTCTCTGGTTATTTCAGTTTCCGTTTTTAAAAGCGCTATATGTTGAGTCACCTCAGATAGATTTGGCATGTGACATTTTTAGCGGCAATCATTGGTCGATTTTCTAGCGTTGCCATTCGGTGAGTTGTAATGAGGCTTTTTTTGTCGCCGTGTAAGAGAAATACACTCTATAACAAAAAAATCGACGCACCAAGAAGCAATCATTCGATTGCTTTGAAATTTCGTATGCACGAATGTTTTGAACAGATATGGCTGGAATGATGCCGATTGGGGGTATAGTGTTTAGCGAGGAATCCCGCTTCCAACTGTGTCCTGACGATCATCGAAGACGTGTTTGGAGAAGCACATGGCAGAGGGGGGATCCTGCCTTTACTATTGCACGCCACACCGACCCTCACCTAGGGATTATGGTCTGGGGTGCCTTTTCCTTTGACAGCCGGACCCCTTTGGTCGTCATTAGAGGTACACTTACTGCACAGCGGTACGTCGACAACATCCTAAGACCTGCTTTGCTACCGTTCCTTTTGCAGCGCCCTGGGCTGCTTTTTCAGCAGGACATTGCCAGACCACATACGGCACGTGTTGCTATGAACTGTCTGCAAGCTGGTCAAACTCTTCCTTGGCCTGCCAGATCACCAGATCTCACTCCCATCGAGCATTGCTGGGATATGATGGGAAGGCGATTGCATCTGGCACGGAATGTTGATGACCTCGTTCGACAATTGGATCGAATTTGGCAGGAAATACCGCAAGAGACCATCCGGGAGCTTTTTCGGTCTATGCCACGCCGTGTGGCAGCTTGTATCCAGGCTAGAGGAGGGTCAACACCTTATTGAACTTGTTACTGTAACTCTGTCATAAATTATTCAATTGTTTTGAAATTTTAATCATTTACTATTCTGTGCATTGTCTTCCTAACCAGCAATTTTCGTTTCAATCGGAGAACTCCTTCTTGGTGCGACGATTTTTTTTATAGAGTGTATATATATACATATATGGATACTTGTTCTTGTCTAATTCTTGTGCGTGGATTTCAAATCTGAAATTATCTTTTCTCTTAAAGCTACAATTTTTTTTAATATCAATTTTAGTTTACTTTTTGCCAAAATGTCCAAGTATAAAAACGTTATATGTAGCAGGTTATCGTGTAGATGTTGCTATAAACCTCTAGAAGTGTAAAAGCATATCAGAAGGATTAAAATTGCATAGGAAGTAATGCCCGTCATCGTACAAGGTTAGGAACGCTTACTTATATCATGACCTGTTCGGAAGCACACTATGAAACATTTCATAATAGGTAAAGCTCACATAGATGCGTATGATGACATTTTTTTAAATTTTTTTTATTTCTAATGAGCTGCCCAATCGGTCTTGTCGATGAGCAGGCCTAGTGCGTTCTCCAGAGGTGGTATCCACTCTTTCAGGACCACCACAATGGGTGAGATACCGTTGGTCATGTTAATTTGGACGTCTAGTTTCTGCCACACTAGATGGAAGCACCGAGACTCTATTTGGATGCTAAACTGCACTAAGAATTTAATTTTGCCGGAAATGCCGAGAGCCAATGAGGCACTCCAGGGATCTTTTACATGCCGAATAATCATACGACATGGCCGATGAGGATTTTCTGCATCCCGAAAATCCGGTGTCTGGGCCGGGGATCGAACCCGCAGACTTGGGCTCAGTAGGCCAACGACAAACAAACTGCGCCACCCAGCCGCATGATGACATTTCGTGTATGAGTTCTTATGCAATTTTAATCCTGATGATGTGACCTAATTGCCCTAAAAGTTCGTCGCAGCGCTTATGAGATCCCCTTCTATAAATATCAATTTTAAACTTGTTCATTTCGAAAAAAACAAGCACTGAAAGCGCCATTTAAAATACCTTGCAGACAGAAACTGATTACAGATTTAAAATCATCAGCGACGTGAAAATATCCAGTATCTGTCAGCAAAAAAAAATCTCATGCAATTAGATACAAAAAAATTTTTTCCCTAGTGTAACTTATGGTTTTGTTAGGGTATGAAAATGGAAAATAAAAACTTTTTTCTTACAAACATTAATTTTTTTATTAATTTTAATATTTTTTATGAGCATTTTTGAGGATAAATGCTTAACTGAGATTTCTTTCTTGAATTACAATGACTAATGTTATAGACTAAATGAAATGAAACTTGAATGAATGTTGACTAAATGATAATTTAACAAAATCATATGTTTTTAAATGTATCTGCGATAATTAGTTGTGTATCTTTGGCGTAGCACCAAAACAGTCAGAAAATGCATCCTGGAAGAAATCATTAATGTTAATTAGTAGCAAAAACTATCAAATTAATGCATTTTAATTACCGAAAAAAATAAAGCACTGTTTGTATCTTTACTTTGTAGATGTCGAATCTGTATCTGTTGGTATATTTCTGTTGTATTTGTCTTTATCTATTTGTCGAATCTGTAATCTGTTTGTATCTTTCTTTTGTCAGCAAAAGGAACAAGTCGAAGCAAAAAGAGATTGTAAATGAAACTAGTGATTTGTATGAGGGCGCATCTTTGAAGAGTTTCGCTAAATGTTAAAATAAAATAAAAAGAAGTTTTTCGCATTTTTCAATAAAGTTTTGTTTTTATGTGACAACTTGGCCAAATAATTATTTTTCTTTTTTCTAAATATTATGCTAAAATTACATAATACACTTGATGACTGTAAAGAAATATTGTGAATTGTTGAGAGATCAGAATATTCTTGAGAGTTTCTGGTAAATTTTTGAAAGTTACTGAGATAAGCTTTACCCTTATAAACTTTAATAGTTAGAATGCTGGGGGTCAGTAGCACTGAAGCAGTTTTTCAAATTGTTTTTGAGTGCTTACCAATAAATCCTAGTTGTTGTCACCGATTTTTTTTTTCTTTTTAGTGAGAGCTTATTAATAGGAAATTTTTTAAAAAAAGTATAAATAGTATATAAAAGATAAAATGTATATTATTAAAAGTTTATTGGAGAAAAAAATTGACTTGTGAAATCGTAAAATAGATTCTTGAACAGAATTGGTTAACGTAATGCGATTGCAGCACCATCTAGTACAACTGCAGCACAAATAATTTAATATAGTGTGATGATTAACTTCGACCTGCAGAGCGATTGCATCTCCAGTTACCATTTTAGCTTTCAACAGGATTCATTCATACACTTTCTTAAAGAAATGTAAAAAAAAATGGCTGCAAAGAAGAAATTTCATAAATTTTGTTTAACCGCAACGTTTAATGTTTCCAAATGAATATATTTAGTGATAAAATCAGAGAATTCTCATTTTTAATTTTGAAGTGAAAGCTGGTAAGAAGAATGTTTCAATTCCCTTTTAACACTGCTAATACCACTTTTTAAGTTTTTCAAGATCCTTAGTACCTTCTTTGTTTAAATAAGTACCGTGATTTGTCTTTAAATCAAAAAAAATAAATGCGTATTTTATTAACAACTTATGGTAAACAACACTCTACTTTTTCTACAAAATTAAGCCTAACACTTAAAAGACTACTTTCCTCTTTTTAGTAAATAGGTGATATTCCAAGAGATCTTCTTTTTAGTAAATAGGAGAACAGGATGCTAGATGTACTTTATAGCCGACGTTGAACAGCAAACCTAATATTGATTTTATGACTACCAATGCTCAACTCCGTAGCCTTGTAATTTTGGAACCCAATCCAGAAAACAGGGGAGCTTCTGGAACAAGTATTGTGAGAAATTTCCCTTCTTGGAGACCTTTTTGTTGGAACTAACCCCTATGGAAAGAAAAACCACGAAAATATCCCACGGTTAGACTGACGGTAACGGGATTCTAACCCATGATCCGTCTACAACTAAGGATGTTCTCTCATGTTTCTTAAAGGGAAAATACTTTAGAATTTCTAACATACTCTCGAAATATTTGACACCACTTTTTGACTATTCCCTGGAAGTGCCACAGTTGGCCCGAGTTTCCTTGGGAGTGTCCATAACAAAAATAATCTCAATTTAGTGAGCTCTATGAAATTTATTTTCTAAGAAATAGAAATTTTGCTAAATAATAATTTGAGCTTTAATTCTATGAATAGTATTCTTTAATAAAGTATGTATTCGTAATTATAACTAAAACATTTTTAAAAATAAATTTTAAGTTTAATTTTTTTTAAAGTAAAGAAGTTTTTTTATAGTCAAATAAATATTGGAAAGTATGACATTCATACATAAATAAAAGAAGTCTCTAAAGTGAAAGTAAAAAAAAAAAGGATTCGCATTTTGCTTATCTAATGTGTTATCTGCATAGATAAAATTTAAATGATTGACAAACACAATACACCTCTACATTAGTCATTGTTTATACCACAAAAAG